CCCCGGGCCCCGTTCCCCCCTCACCGACACGGAGGTTACAAAAACAATACGTGAAACCGCGGAATTAGTCGTAAAAACGGACAGGAAAGGGGGTCGCATGCACTATTGACTTAACACGGAGGAGCGGCCGCAAGGAAACAAAAATCACGAAGCAGCTCCGCGGAGCCTGGAAGAGGGAAACACCCGCCGGCCCCCCCCAACCGGACACACGGCCCTGCCTCCGCCGCGCCGAAACGTTGAGTGAGCCGGCAAATGGACTGTACTGGCCTCGCCGAGCAAAGGAGCAGCGCCCAGCTCAACAGGCAGCAAGCACCTCACAAAAGGCCGATCCTCGGGGTCACGCCCGTGGCTGGCACAGCGAGGCGGCCTTCCTCCCCTAGCGCAAAATAAACCTAGTCACAAATAAGCTAGTTACAATATGCAAATTCCTCCCACAAGTCTTGTGAGACGGCTGGTGCCTCACTCCCAGGAGAAGCCATACAGAGCTACTCCTACCCTGCCCCTGCACTTCACTCCATCCCCAGTCACCTCTGCCGTGTTCTGCCTGATCAACCTTTAAAAAACAAACACCAATGCTCTTCTGGTTTTTTTGCAAGTCAGAAAACTTCACAGAGGAAGCTCCGATTCTGGAGTGCACAGTAAGCAGTGCTAGCTGTTGCTGTACTCCTCTACAGAATAAATCAGTTCTGATTTTCCAGTTTTGTCTGCACCCAGTACCTGATCTCTGAAGGTACTAAAACTAGACTTGAGCCCATCTTAGCAATGTGCTCCAGCTGATCTGGTCATCCTCACAAAGATGAGCAGCTTTTGAAACAGGCAGATCAGAGCCAAATCTTGTCTGTCTTGTCTTAGCTGGAATAGTGAGGCAACTCTCAAATGCTGGATACAAAAATGAGGTGGCTAAGCGCTAAAAGGAAAAAAAAAACCCAACACACTTCTGAATTTCTTTTAACATATATAAACAAAGGGAAAAAATAATAAAGTGAGAACCAGTGTGACTGGTGTGCTCACAGAGGGTCAGGTTTATCTTTTGGAAAGGGCTGAAGCACTACAAACGCCACGGCAGCTCGGGTCTCCAACCACAGCACTGCTCCCGACTGCCGTCCGCTGGGTCAGGACAAACACAGTGTGTAACCACTGGCCTGAATTGAAAAACGATCCGTCCAGATTTATTTATTCCTACCAAAACAAAATCCTGTTAAACAGTACATAACTCTGTGTCTCTACAAACTCACAGCTATCTGCCAAACAATAAAAATTCCAAACTACAAAAGATGAGTTGTATTCAGTAAATATAAATGGGAAATTTAGGCTTTGTGTAGAATGTTTATCAGACTATTTACAGTGCAACACAGATCGTTTGTTTGAGTTCAGATCTCGCCAGCTTCTCTCTCTTCTGATCTCTTGGAACGAGATTTGCCATTTGTGCTCTCATGCCGCCTCTCAGAAGAGCTCTTCTCTTTCCTCTCTCTGTCTCGTGACTTTTCTCTTGAAGATCGATCTCTAGAAGATCTGAAGTACAAAGTAAACCATCGCTATAAGCTTCACAACTAAAAGAACCTTCAAATATGCATAAAATGGCAT